TATGATCCTCAGAGGACCAACAGGCTGACCTACAAACTCCATTAACAAAGCCCATCCTGTAACTTTTGAGCACAGCCCTGCAATCTGGTATGACACAACGGTGAAATCTTAGCCTGGACACTCATTACACCAACATCTTATGGTCCCTCAATAGAGAGTAGAGATATTTTCTAATTGTATGTATACAAAAAATAAAAGAGCGTGAGATTTTGAATTAAAGAAACCTACATTTTCTTCAGAGCTTTACACTATGCCATGCACGTAGTAACAAGAATTGCAGCCAAGATGTCATAGCACATGCAGTGGGCATGAGGTGTGAAGGGAACACACACAATGTCACCATCATGGAGGCCATGCTGGTAGGACAGGGATATACAGAGTAAACACTCTGAAGCCTCAAAGTTAAACTTGAAAGGATAATGCCAGCCAAAACCATGGGCTACACAACACGGATACACCTGTACAGCCAGGCTCTCGTGTGGAGATTTCAAGGATATACAAGGAAAAGACATGTCAGGTTAGGTTTTTGTGATCATACAGATCAGGTGATATTCAGAGAACCCCTGCCCGTGGATTTTGAATGTTTTATACTCTATTTTTAAAACATAGCACGTTTATCATTTCATTTATGGAACTAAGCTGTTGCGTCTCAGGTTGTATTCTGTCTTTCACATAAGGCTTTCTCATGACCAGTATTTTGGAATGTTTTCCATTGCTAGAGTATCTAATGATCTCTGATCTCACTTGCTTTGCTTTTGTTTTTCTTGTTATTTTTTGAGACAGACTCTCACTATGTGATTTAGGATGGCCTTCGATTGACTATGTAGCCCTGGCTGGCTTTGAACTCATAGAAATCCTGCTGTCTCACAGTCTTAACTTCTGGGATTATAGATTTGCACCTCCACACACATCTGGATCTCTCACTTAAAAAAGGCAGTGGATGTAAAAATCTTTGGAAAAGTTTGAAATCCTCCTTGAATGTTTTCATCAGAAATAGATGAACATTTCACTTACATTATTGATAGTATTGGCCTTCTTCTATCTTGGTTTTTGAGACAAGCACCAGGATGTTCCAACACAGAATGTGGCCCCATTTGTGGTGTTCTCTGGGGCCATCTGAAGGTCAGAGCCAGGAGGAGCTGCACTGTGTGCACAGAGCAGGGCATTCTTCATCCCAGCACATTCAGCATCTCTGAGAGGCAGGTGGGGATGAAGCCAGATACAAAGTCTCATATGCCCTTGCTCCTTGAGTATTTCCCTACATCTTCCTGCTGTCTCCCTCTGACTGGTGTGAGGTGAGCTGCTGAGGTGATTTTCCAAACATTCTATTCAGGCTGCACATTTAGAAACTTGAGTCATTATGAAGCCATGAGTCTTCAGGGACAGGGTTCTAAGAGGAAATGTCAGAATGTCTGTAGTCCATGAGGAGTCCCAGCATTTTCAGATAGTAGTAGACATCTCTGATTACAAAATGCCAAGAATGGGGTTAGACAGAGAAGCATGAACTCCAAGAAAATTTCCCAAATAAGTTAACTGTGAAAATGTAGGGAATAAGGTCTAGAAGTTGTCTATGAAGACTACCCTCAGGGATGCAGCAATACCTTTTTAAAAGGTAGTCATGGAGAGGTGGACAGGCATGGCACCAAGAAGACAGAAAGCATAGTTAGATTCTTAAATATTTTTCTCTATCTCCAGCAGCAGCCTAGCAAATACACAATTCTCTGCCTCACTACAAACTCTCCCCTGGAAAGGCACGCTTTAGTAAATACATTCAGCACATCAGAACCCTTTCCGGACACGGACACTTTCATGTTAAAGTTGCCAATGAAAACTGTGCTCAAAATAAACAAAATCTTTGCTCCAACTCAATTTCTCTGTGTGTAGAAGTATTAATAGCACAGAAGATACAGAACAGTGTCTTTAGAGTGTTCCTCTCCCCAGTGCAATTGATCATCTTAAGAAAACACTCTCCTGGGAAGGACCACCACACCCTGCCCTCTATCCCCCTCTTATACCCTCACTGGCTTCCCCATGCAAAGCAGCCCCAGGCTCAGGATGAAAAGCCAGACCTGGCTGAGGAACCCCACTCTCCTCTCACAGGAGCCTTCATAGAGCATGGAGTCTTTGGTGCTGCTCCTCTCCCTGGTGACGGCTCCCTGCTGTGAGTGTCTCTGAGTTTCAGGAGAGGGAGTGGACACAGGGTGTGTGGTGCGTTTGACTGATGGTGATTCTTCTTGTCCCCAGGTGTCCTGTCCCAGGTGCA